AGTGAGTTGTTCAAGTATTTTGAGTACTTAGTTCGATTAATTCCACAAACATTTATAAACAACCTATTACAAGTGTTATTGTATATATTTTAATTTAATATTTGGATTTGACAAACTAAACTTATTTGACAACATTTATAATATTTTATTTCACCTATGTTAGTCGTTTAGTTTATTCTATGAGTAGTAATCCCCCTTGTTCAAGAAAAACTATGCAACTTGCTACAAGTGGGGTATTATTATAATGCATATTTTTTACTCATTTAATCGAGGCACTTATGGCCAATAAAAAGACCAAGGCATTTACATATTCACTGTTTTAAAATGAAAAATCGTAATTACCTTCTGAATTTATTTTCGTTTTCTCAATTGAGCCCCAAAATTTTACTTTTGGGCCAATTAAGCATTTGTAAAATTTGATGTGACCTATTAAGGCCAAGGGCTAGCACCATCATGTCGGCCAATTATGAACTTTCCTGTTTATCTTGACCTTTTTAATTTTAAGCTACATAATCAAATTTTAAGCTACATAATCAGAGTACGTAAATTTAAAACATAGCCAAAATCGGATGAGTTTGGATTATATCACCCTAAAAAACCTCAAATCTAAGTGGGTTGGATCATTTTGAGTTTTGAATTAGAAAGGTGGACCCATGATTCACCCATGTGGGCCTTGGGTTAGGTTGGTTAAACCTTACTTTTTAAAAAATTATAATTATTTAATATTTGTTCTATTTTATATAAAAAAAGTAAGGGAATATTTTTTTTGGTTTTTTTTTTAATAATTATCATTTGTTGACTCTAATTAAATGAATTAAATATTTTGAATTATAAACAATAATGATTATCAATTATCAATTATCAATATAAATGATCAATTATCAATTATATTTAAATAGTTAATCTAAACAGTCACTAATATTAATTAATTATTTAACAAAAAAATCTATTAAACTAATATTAATTCTAATAATTTAATAAATCATAACTATTTTACATTTTTATTTATTTTTATTTAAAAATTAAAATTAAAGCATATTTGACTAATATTTTAAAATTTAAAAAAAAATTAATTTTAATCGAATCATCTTGAGTTAACTCAACCTAACTTAATTTACTTGTGAATTTGTCAAATCTTGTCATTTTGGGTTTCCAGTCAAGACCATGGGTTTATGACCTAACCCAAAGTAAGTGAGTTGAGTTGAATCAAATTTTTTAATTAGATTTAATTTTGCTTAATCTAAATAAGAGATAACTCTTTCCGTTATATATTTATAATTTAAACTTAATTTTTTTCTTTTCTGTAAAAAATATTATCACTAACCCATTTGCGTAATTGGGAGTTAATTTTTACCTTAATAAGTTGCTAGACCTTGCAGTGCAGGGGCTTAATTGGCTCAACGATAAGGTTGAGGAGTGAATAATGAATAAGAATGTAAGATCAACTCAAGGATATATCTACATTTTAAGATGCGATGAACATGCCAAAAAACAAAGGCGCTAATCACCACGTCAGCCTCCCTTAGCTCCGTTCGTGTGGGTCCCTTTACGATCTAAGATCCCACTTCTAATTCCAACATTACCTCACTTTATTTTAAACAACGAATAGAATTTCGCCTCCACGCCACATGCGCCATGGCCCCATACGCACGCGGCTTGAGCCATGGCCCACGTGCACGCGGCATTCGTCATGAACCCCAGGACCCCATTTTAAAAACGACATACGGAGTTTTTTTTTGGTTTATTCCTCTCTTTTTGCTTTTGGGTTTAATGTCTAAATTTGGTCCCTCAACTTAACTATCAGAAAGATCCAAAGTGAGAAAGATTCAAGAGATTCAAGAACCCACGGAGAAATTATTCGAGTGAAGTTGGGTGGTAAATGATTTTACAAATTGTTTTTTTTTTTTTTTTTTTTTTTGGGTTTTGATGCATTTTGACCCATGCTAATTTTAAACTCCTAAAATTTAGTAGGACAATTAAAGTTCAATTGAAGTAGAAAATTTGAGTTAAGGGTGCAACGTTAAATGTTCATTAGCAGAGGGACCATATAGATGCACGAAAAATGAGTTTGAGAGATAACAAAGTGCCAAAAAAAAAAAACAAAACAAAAAAAACAAAAAAAGTGAAAAGACAAATGATAAAAATTACTAAGTTAAGGGACCAATCTAGCATTGAACCTTGCCGTTATAAGGACATTGTTTCGTGTTTGGAACAATAAGTTGGACTTGACTGGATAAGACTTGGAGGCACCTGACTCGATTGATTATAACTAAAGATGGGTGGACTAATTGAACAATTCAATCTTTCTCAATCATTATCTTTTGTTTCGATAATCCAATGTTTCTGTAGTGCAATTAAGGTAAATATCAAGCCTTTAAAAACTCAAAATTTTAAACCACTTGATGTTGAAAATGATTCACCAGTATTGATGAGAAAAAGAGAAGAATGATTTAAACTAACATCTTTTATTTGATCCAATACATTAATTATTAGCAAAGTACTAATATGGCTAAGATTAATAAACAATGATAATTGAGACTACTTTTTAAAATAAAATTATAGTAATTATTAATTATAATGTAGGCTCTATATAGTATTAAAATAAACCACATAATTAACTCTTGAAATAATTTTGTCCCAAAAATTTTATCCTAAAATTTGGTTTTGAACTCATATGGCTAATGAATTCTTCGAGCTAGTAGTAAGGGTAAGGAAAATGTTACCTTAAACGCCCAACTGAAACTTTTATGACCAAACAGTTTTTCAAGTCAAAATTCATGTCCCCTTGAAACTTAAATTTAAGTTGTCATTGATAAATTATTTGGACCCATGTACCATTTCTCACATGTTTAAATAGTTTTAATTTGACATTATTTTTGAGTGATTTTAGTCCCAAAATTTGTTGATTGATTAAATAATTTTATTTAGATTTTAAATTTGTTGATTTGTCAATATGTAGACACATAGTGACCAACCCAAATAGGGTAATTTGTTAAAGGTATTATATTTATAAAATGTGTAAATATGTAAAATTAAATAATTTAATATTTATATAAATATTGCAGTTTGACCTAAACTTGAGATTTAATAATGAAGTCATATTCCAACTTAATTCATTTAAACAAAGATAAATTATTTCCTTAGCACAAAAATTAATTAGGGACTCCTTCCCTAACCATGCTTTTAATAGTCAAAATACATAAAACAATTGATTTAATTCAACTAATATCATATTCAAGTTGCTATTCTACTCTAACAAGAGCAAATTTTGATTTAAAAAAAAAACATTGAGAAAGCAAAGGTAGGAACTTTTAAAAAAGAGGAAAAAATCTTCACATGAAATGGAAAAACACCCACTTGAGAAGAAATAACTTTTACCTTTAGCAATTCACCCTAATGGGTGAGAAGGAAGGAGGTAACGGCTAGGGGAAAGAAGAATACAAGAAAAAAAAAATGGAAATTCAAGATAAGATAAGGGAGGGGCGATAACCTTATTTTTTTTATCAGGTAGTATGATTAAATTCTATAATACAACTCAATGTTGTATTTAAGTGTTGGCACAGAGAATGTGTTTTAAGTAGATTAAAAACTTAAAATTTTAT